AGCAATACCTTTCACTGGATTGGCATGCCTGAGTAATTCCTGCCTGCGTGTTTGGCATCACCACAGGCATGGCGGTGGCTTCTCTTCAAAGTTGTGCTTTTACACTGTATTATGCAAAGGGGTGTTGTTATCACAGCTATTAATCAAGATTTCCCGTCCTGGTGTGCCATTCTTTTAGAACAGTGGATTTCCTTGCTGGGAGTTTGAAGGGTAGGTGTGAACACAATGAAACAATGCAACTTTGATGAACAAGGAAACAAACATGAAATGAATGATATGGTGTGGGACGATGACAGTGTCTGAAATTCATTGGTAGAGGCAACTGGGGAAGGACGACACTGAAACCAGAAGGAGGAGGAGCCAATCTTATTACAAAAGAGGCTCGGTGTGATTTGCTGATATTTTCTTAGGGACAAATCTTGTGGGAATGCCGGCCTTAACCATGGCTACAATAAATCTGGAAAGGACACTCAGTACCACCAGAAGCCCCTCCGCCCATCCCAGCAAAATGAGAAAGTGGATGTTCCAATGCAAATTGGCTGAGAGAAATCCTCCTGTAGGTAGGTAGGTAACTAGATAGGTAGGAGGAGAGGGATAGAAAGAGAGAGGGAGAGAGAGAGAGAGAGAGAACAAAGAGAAGCAGAAATAGCAAGTTAGAGAAACAGATAAAGAGAAAGAGAGAAAGATAAACAGAGAGAGAGAAAGACAGAAGTAGAGAGACAGAGTAAGAGGGATAAAGAGAGATGGAGACAAACAAACACAGAGAGAGATAGGCAGATAGATAGACAGACACACAGAGAGAGAGGGAGACCAAGAGAAATAGATAAAGTGAGAAAGAGAAATAAAGACAGACACAAAGACAGAGAGACATAGAGCAAGAGAGAAAGAGAAACAGAGAGAAAGAGAGATGGACAGATTATTAATTGATTAGTCTACCTGTCCTATCAATAAAATAATCTAATTCCAGGATAAAATAGATAAAAGAAAATAAAGCAATATAATACACATGTGGTACATACAAAGCATCAACATTCAGGATGCCCCACCCAATTCTGTTCACATGACCATGGGCACATTGTGACGGTTACGTGTGCAAGGACAGGCCATAAGTCACTTTTTTCAGTGTCATTGTAACTTTAAACAGTTAATAAGTGAATGGTTGTAAGTCAAGGATTGCCTGTAGAGAAATGGATGAAAAATATATGATTTGATCCAGGGGTGGGATTCTACCAGTTTGCACCTATTCGCTAGAACTGGTTGTTAACCTTCTAAGCAGTTCGGAGAACCGGTTGTTAGAAGAAATTACTGGCCTAATCCTGTAAGGAAGGCAGGAAGGAAACATTCTGGTGTTGCTTACGGAAACTGCCTCTCCATTAACCCTTATTACATTCTTGGCAGGACTAGACTTCCTGTCTCTGGAACTTCTCTGGAGTATTTTTTCCCCTCCTTTGCTGGTACTTTGCTTGTGTGGAGTGACCATTCAAAGTTACAATGGCACTGAAAAAAGTGACTTATGACCATTTTTCACACTTACAACTGTTGCAGCATCCCCACAGTCATGAGAGGCCAGGTGAGGAGATGCGTGCCTCGATGTGAATGATATTGAGTTGGCCATCCCCAGCCAATAACATGGCCACCAAGCCATGTCCACCAGTCACATGACCACCAAGCCACACCCACCAACTAAGCCATGCCCACAGAACCAGTTGTTAAAAATTTGAATCCCACCCCTGATTTGATCTTATGTGCTAACTGGAAGCCCAAAAAGAAGGAGCTAATTTTGGGATGGCTTTACAAGTGGGTTTCGCTATAAATTCTACCTCATTTTACAATAATTGCATTGTAAGGGCTTACAATAAATTAATTTAATTAAATTAGGTTAATTAATTAATTAAATTAGATTAAAGAGAGTCACAGCAAATCTGGAAGAGGGAAAATATGCCACTGGGTTAGGCACTCTTTAATTATAATGATTAACAATGAATTAATTATCATACTCAATCCCCAATCAGGATGATTATGAAGTATATTTATATTAATCAACTTCTAACTATTAAATAATTGTTGATGATTAATAATGCACTTAGTAATAAGTTGCTTGCTGGAGATTCAAAACCTGTCAAAGCTGACATCATATTTTATTTTAACCACACATTTATTTATTTGGTATCTTTATTTTTTGTAACAAAGCAATCTTTCATCTTTAAATTAGAAACATTTAAAAAAATTAAAAATGCAAACTAAGGAGGAAAAATAAATGTCAGAGCTGATATAAAAAGGGCTGTTACTTAACTTTAATGAAATAAACACTACGATTGTATTTGTTTACTCAGAGAAGAGTCAATATGGATTATTTCCAAACTGGTGTGCAAATCAGCAAATCAGCACTGACTGAGCTTCTTTTATGAATATTTGGGGTCTGTGATCTCATTCCATTATTTTCTCTCTTTCTGATTTGTTTACATGACCTGCATACATCTCCTCAACTCCACAAAACCTCTTGCATTTATAATATTATATTTGCACCATTCATACTTGCAGGAAGTGAATTGTAGTTTGTTGGTTTTGCAACTGAAGCTAAAATATATTTTCCTTCTTTTTGCTCCAGCATCAAATTTGCATCATGAATATATTAATGTAGACTTAAAATTACTTGAAGGTTATAAGGAGAGTAGAGAGTCGAAGAAATCATTAGAAGAAAACCTTCCCGTGGATGAAGAATAGTAATTTTAAAAATGACTATGTTGCCTTGCCTGATGGCTTAGATTTCCCCCATCAGCAAGCATGGGAAGATGGGAATTATAGTACAAGATAGAGGTAAAATGGAAGGTTGGAGAAGGGTAAAATTTTCAAAACTGTTTAAGAATTGTCTAATATCATATTACTAACACTTTGTTGTTTGTCTTATGATTTATGTTGATTACTTTTATTTAGTATAAATAAAGTATGATTATCAGTATGATAGTATGACTATCACCTTCTGTTTGTATCTTATAATTTATGATGATTGTATTTTATGATTATGATAATGATTTATCACTTGTTGCTTGTATATGCACTGAGAGCTTCTGCACCCAAGACAAATTCCTTGTGTATCCAATCACAGTTGGCCAATCTAAAATTCTACTCTACTCTACTCTACTCTACTCTACTCTACTCTACTCTACTCTACTCTACTCTACTCTACTCTACTCTACTCTATTTTATTCTATTCTATTCTACTCTACTCCAAATCAAATCAAATCAAATCAAATGTTTATTGTCAATGCACAACATGTGTACAGTGAAATTGAAATGAGCCTCCCTTATTTCACCCCCCCCAAAACACAACATACATCTCAATAACTCAATAAATGAAAGAAATAGAATCCCTAAACCCGAATAAGTAATAACTAACACACATTCCCGTATACCTATATGTATGTAACATGATATTATATTACACTGGTATGAACATGTTGCACATTCGCTGGCTCCGCAAGTCTATCATATTAAACCTAATTGTGGTGTGTGTTTCTTTCAAGGCGGCACAGAATTTGGGGACTCAATTGTGGTTGTGAGTTGAAGACTACCTAAACTACACTTGCAATGACTTGGAACACATTGTGATTTGTACTCATTCTATATTATCTCATTCTATATAAACCTGCTTAAGAATTTATTCTGTGTCTGAGGTTGTTCTTTCTGTCTTCCTTTAGCAAAGGAATATGAAAGAGACCTCTTGTTTTTAGAGTAAAATAATTATTTTTACCCCTTTTTATTTTTATCACTGTTCATCTTGATGCATGATGCTGTTTTGACATAATGGTTATACAATATTAATTAAAAGTAATTGAAATACAGCCAACACACAGCAAGGTCCCCCAAAGTGGTCCTTTGGGAACTGTCCAAGATGTTGATCCTATTGTTTTTGCTACTATTATTATTCATAATGCTATTAGTTAAAGTAGTATTTATTAAATTGTTTTCATATAATAAATGCTTGGAGGGTGTCTATGAACAATCTGAAACTTCATGAAGAGGTTGATAAGCTGAACTGTTTTGGGACCCCTTGACTTAGATTATTAGAAATAATCAGAGGAATAGAATAGAATAGAATAGAATAGAATAGAATAGAATAGAATAGAATAGAAAAAGCTCAGAGCAAATTCTGTTGCTAAATGAAACAGCTGTTAACTGAGTTCTGTCCCATTTTACAACCTTTTTGCCACAATTGTTAAATGAATCATTGCAATTGTTAAGTTAGTAACATGGTTGTTAAGTGAATCTGGCTTCCCCATTGACTTTGCTTATCAGAAGGCTCCAAAAGGGGATCAGAGGACCCCAGCAGATTGAAATCATCATAAATATATATGCCAGTCTCTAAATGAATGGTTGTTAATCAAGGACTGCCTGTCCAGTAAAGAAAAAGCCCACTTTAAATGCCTATGAATCCATAAAGCACGTTCGTTGTGAACCTCAAACACATTCTGTATACCTTTTTAAAAATAAGCTCAGTCAAGCATTTAAAATCCAAGCATCCCTTCTGCATTTTCAAAATTAAAAGTCTAAGGCAGTGAAAAACATTGGGAGCAGAAACCTGTCCTGGAAAGGAGCCAATAAATCAGATGAGATTTATAATCATTGGTACTTGTTTAGTTTGACCCCTGGAAGGAAGGACAGCTGGCTGGTTGACAATGTGAACAAGAGCCATTCCCTCCAGGGTAGTAAAGATGAAGGATGATAAGAGAATTAATAATTGAATTTTAATAAATGAAGATTAATAAATATGAATATTGCAACATTTGCTCGCAAGTCCCGACCTGTTTATTCCAACACCTGTGCTTTATGGCAAAGATTAATTTGTATAATTTTTCTTTCCCTTCTCAGAAAAGTTTGAAATTGTTCAGTGCTTCTACTTTACGTTCTAGTACTGACCTGAAAGGTTTGCTCTGTGATACCTTGTATGTGACTACGAAAGGGTTGAGGGAAGGCTTACCTCTTTCCTGGAAAACGGATGACATAGACTCACTGGCTGGGGTTTCACAAGAAAAAGAAAGGAAGGGGGGGGAAAAAACCCCAGCTTGTTAGCCAGTTTCCCGAGATGGAGACATTGTTGTTGTTTTTTTGAAATAGTAGAAAATGCTTGTAGCTCAGGTTTTAGACTTTGGCAGTTTAGAGTTTGGTCTCCAAGCATTTCAATTTAGTTTCTAAACTTTTCATTACCAAACTAGGTAACATCATCAGCAGGATTTTCTGGTCTTACTCTCCTTAGTTTATAAAACAACGGTTTCTTCTTCGATATGGAACCGTAACCTTGTCAAAAATTTCTACCTGGAAAGTTGGTGTTTAACATGGCCACATTTTTTTTTTGAAGAAGTTTCAGAGAGATGAGCAGAGAAATCCAAAAAAGGTACAAGCACAATTTTGCTAGTAGAAGGAAATCAGGGGTTTGACCTGCACTTGATCTTTTTTTTTCTTTTTTTTTTTTGTAAATTTTATTTGAGTTTTCACAAAGAGAAAAAAAAATACAAATAAAACATCTTTTTTGAAAGCAGCATAGTCCCGGGTTACATTTCTTCGTACAGACACAAATTCAGGTTCATGCTCATTTTTATATTCTATTCCATATCATTACTATTTTACATTTCCTGCATAGCTTCTCCCCTCTTTTAATTTTCTCAATTTTATTTTAATTATCTCATCTCAATTCAAATCATTGTATTTATATTTTTTGTCTGTCCTGTTTCAATTATCTATTATCTTTTCTCATTAAAAAAAATTTCTCCTGTAGTTACTGATTGGAGTATGACGCCTTTATATCTTTTCCCTAAAGTTGTGACATTCAATATAATACATAACTTCCATTTGGATTCTGCTTGGTACATTCTTACAATACACACTGTATTCTTAAAAAAAGAAAAAAATTATAAATGTATATAATTAAAACAACATTCCATTCCAATTCAATTCTATCATTAATATTAATATTCATTAAAGTCTTAATATCTTTAACATTACTTTTCAATTAAATATCATACTTCTATGGGAACAATTATAAGCTTTCCATAGTTAATTCCCCCCCTTCACTTATATTTTATAAAACATTAACTAATTAAAATGTTCCCATTCCTTCCTAATTCAATTTTCTCATTTATTTTATTTCACTTATTTTATTCACAAACATTTCACTAAATTACACTAACTATTTTTATCCCTCATTTTAATCATACGTTGTTTCCAATTTTCTAAAGTTATTTCTATTACAAATATAACAATACAATCTTATGTACCATTACAGAATCCCTTTTTCAGTTAGATTTTCACCCATTATCTCTAAATAGGTCCTGTTTCTCTATATCTCTATATTCTCTATATCCATTGTAACTTCTTTTCCTTTCCTTCTTTCCTGTCTTCTTCTCTCTCCCCTTTTTACCCCCTTGTCTCTCTACCTCTATTTCTCTCTTCTGTATTCCCCTTTTCTGTTGCTTTCCAGTATTATACTTATTTTTCGATTTTTTCTTTCTTTTCTTTGGTTGTTTTTTTAAGTCTTAAATTCTCCATTCTCTTCCCCCCCCTTTCCTTTTTCTTCCCCACATAGAATTACTTGTTCATTAAAGATGGCTTCTTCTTTGTCCCAGTCTTCTTGTTTTGCAGTCTTTTCTTGTTGTTTCTCATAGTTCCAAATCTCCATTTCTAAGAATTGAAAAACGAAGCCAAAAGAACCCTTCCCTTCTTGTGCATCTTCTTTGTACTTTTTAAGTTCCATTTTCAATTCATCCAGAAGTGGTGCCATTGTATAAATTTTTAAACAACCACCCGATTGATTTTAGTCATTCAAATATAATAACCAAAAATCCAAAGATATCCAAATAATCCAAATACACGCAAGCTGTTTCTGCACTTGATCTTGATTGTTTGTCTATGGAGACTCTCCATCCATGAATGGTCATGCCAGTCTCTGAAAGCGAAAGCAAAGGGCGTGTGAAAGGAAGACGTTCTCTTAAAGGGGGCAAAGGTATGGGGGGGTCTTCTCATCAATGCTGTTCCAGTAGCAATGTTTCTCTCTGCTCAGTCACAGCCAATTTGGCATAGTGGTTAGGTTACCAAGCTAGAATTGGGTTTGTGAAAAGAAGGACAAGGGATGACATGATAGCAGGGTTCCAATATTGGAAGGGTTACCACAAAGAAGAAGTGTGGGGGAGGTTCAACCTATTTTCCAAAGCCTCTGAAGGCAGGACAAGAAACAATAGATGGAAACTAATCAAGGAGAGAAGCAACCTAGAACTAAGGAGGAATTCCCTGATCGTGAGAACAGTTAACCAGTCTTACAGCATGCCTTCAGAAGTTGTGGGTGCTTCATCACTAGAGCCTTTTCAGAAGACACTTGACCACCACTTGTCTGTGTGGTATGGGGACTCCTCCTTGACCAAGGGTTTGGACAAAAGACCTCCAAGGTCCCTTGCAACTCTGTTATTCTGCCAAAGATCCATGGAAGAATTTTAACCTTTGATGAAGGCACAATACAAAATATAGGGTAGGAAGGCTGATCATCTCCTTGGAATTTAGCAAATATTTTACTGATCATTTTTTCCAAAAATTTAAATTTAAAACCAAAAATCCACAGGGGACAGATAACTGTGATTCCAACATGAGTTCTCTGATGCACATCCCTAATCCTGACTAGTTTTTTCCCCATTTTTATCCTAAAGTCCCTGAGCTCTTCTGCCTGCTGCTCCAGAGGGAGAGAGAGAAAGAAACATAGAAGCATGATGTAAATGTGTGGAAGAGGCAAAGGGATGAGTCAGACCTGAGAGGGAAGAATTTTCAGTTCTCTGGAAATTGCTCATTCATTAATCTTTGATAAACATTAACTATTTTTCAGAGTTTTTTTTCCTAACGACACAAAAAGTTAATAAACATCTCCAATTCATATTTTGCTTAGCAATGTTTCATGATTTGGTAAATTTTCACATGGAAATGTTTCACGTCTCTGAATGGCAAAGTCCCCATTTATCAAGAGGCACCCCTTTCTAAAAGCCAGCAGAGAAACAGATGGTTCCCATTGCTGCAAAGGCAGGCGGGGAAATGGCAATCAGGTTAGAGCAGGGATCTCCAGGCATGGTGACTTTAAGACCTGTGGACTTTAACTGCCGGAATTCCCCAGCCAGTCATGCTTTCTGGGGAATTCTGGGAATTGACATCCACAATTCTTAAAGTAGCTGTGTTTGGAGACCCCTGGGTTAAAGCAATAGTACCTTTTTCCAAGGGGGCCGCAAGAGATCACTGCAGTGTCACCTGTGTAAAGCATGGGTGTCAAACTAAAGGCCTGGGTGACCCATGGGGCCATCCTGGAAATAATAAAGGACCAGCCCATGGTGCCTCTGCCAGAGAAAACAGAGCTCACGAGGGCAGCATGCGTGCCCCCCGAGCTCCGTTTTCACTGGCAGAAGGTTGCAGGAGGCCATCCCGGCTGAAAATGGAGCTCAGGAGCCCGTTTTCACTGGCAGAGTGCTCAGGCCACCACAGGTGCACCTCAACACAAGTGATGTCATAATGGCCACGCCCACCCCGACCTCCCAAGGTCAAACACAAACCTGATGCAGGTCTCAGTGAAATCAAGTTTGACACCCCTGGCGTAAAGCAATCTGGGCACTCTGAGACTTGCAATCTATAGCATGTGAAAGTTTGGGGACCAGAATGCCTCTAAAAAAAGAAACATAGCATGTGAAAGTTTGGGGGCCAAATGCATCCCTGTTGTACTGAGGGCCATCAGAACCCCCCTCTCTCTATTTGGGGTTGGAAAGCTTTTCTTGAACATTACATCTCACTTTGAGGTGCGGTTAACTTCAGCTCTGGATCGGATGGAGTAATTTCCTATCAATATTAACTTTTTGCAGTTCCCTTCATATCCTCTCATCTGGGATATGGAATCTTTAATGCCATTGTAAAGTCAAAAACAGCTACCTAGAATGGAGACTTCAATTTGTGGATGTGTTCCTCAATCAAATGATGTAACTCCAGGATGTGATCCACCGATGAATGCCTGGTTCGAAACCTCTTCTGTTCTCTGAGCAGGTCTTTGGTTTTAATCCACTCAATCCTCTTCTGTATGTTTAGCACACAATTGGTTTACCACACTGAAAGGTTGATGGATCTCTCCTTAGCCAGACCCTTTCCCTTGCTTTCTTTCTATGCAAAGTTTTCCCCTTGTCCAGTCGTATTCAACTCTAGAGAGGGGTTCTCGTCTCCATGTCCTGGCCGAGGGAGCCAATGTTGTCTGAAGACACTTCCATGGTCATGTGACCAGCATGGCTATATGCTGAGGCTCAAGGAATACTGTTACCTTCCCACCAAAGTGGTACCTATTTATCTTTTCACATTTGCATGCTTTCAAATTGCTGGGTGGGTAGAAGCTGAGGCAAGTAATGGGAGCTCAGGCTGTCATGCAGTGTTTGGATCTTAAAACTGGGTTGTCAGCTTTCCAGCTGACAAGCTCAGTCTCTTTAACCACTGAGCCATCATAATTAGCAGCAGAAATTTTGGGTTCAATTGTGGTCGAAAGTCAAGGGCTACTTGTACAAATCTCCAGACTCTTCTACAGCACTTGAGTTAGGGAGGATCCCTTTTGAGTCTCTACCTCCACCCATTATGCAGCTGTGGGCTATGCTGTCTCTTATCTGGCCATTCCCTGGCAGCATCTCTTTGCCCCATTTCTCAAGATCAAACTCACATATAATTACTGTCCCCAGTCTTTAGAGTTATGTCCTGTTCAATCAATATACACAAAGAGAGAGACAAGAACAGATGCTCACCATGCAAAATTTGGATAGGAGAGGATCGGATAGGACAGGATAGCATAGCATAGCAATAGCAATAGCATTTAGACTTATATACTACTTCACAGTGCTTTACAGCCCTCTCTAAGCGGTTTACAGAGTCAGCATATTGCCCCCAACAATCTGGGTCCTCATTTTACCCACCTCAGAAGGATGGATAGAAGAAGGGAAGGGAAGGGAAGAAAATGGAAGGGAAGGGAACAGAATAGAACAGAATAGCAGAGCGGGAAGGTACCTTGGAGGTCTTCTAGTCCAACCCCCTGCTTAAGCAGGAAACCCTATACCATTTCAGACAAATAGTTATCCAATCTCTTCTTTAAAACTTCAAGTGTTGGAGCATTCATAACTGGAGGCGAGGAGTTTCACTGATTAATTGTTCTGTCAGCAAATTTCTCCTTAGTTTTAGGTTGCTTCTCTCCTTGATTAGTTTCCACCCATTGCTTCTTGTCTTGCCTTCTGGTGCTTTGGAGAATAGTTTGACTCCCTCTTCTTTGCGGTAGCCTCTGAGATATTGGAAGGCTGCTATCATGTCTCCCCTAGTCCTTCTTTTCATTCAACTAGACATGCCCAATTCCAGCAACTCTTCTTTATATGTTTTAGCCTCCAGTCCCCCAACCTTTGCTGCTTTTGCTTGCACTCTTTCTAAAGTTTCAACATCTTTGTTACATCCTGGCGACCAAAACTGGAATGCAGTATTCCAAGTGTGGCCTTACCAAATCATTACAAATCATTACAAAGTGGTATTAACAACTCACGTGGTCTTGATTCTCTCCCTCTTTTTATGCAGCCTAGAACTGTGTTGGCTTTTTTTTGGCAGTTGGAGCACACAGCTGGCTCATATTTAAATGGTTGTCCACTACTATTTTTTATATATTTTAATTATGCATAGATACTTTGAAAACAGTGTACTGTCTGGGTCCATTTCATTTTACAGAAAACTGACAAATGTTCTGATAATAGTAGTAGTGGAAATTGTAATTTTAATAATAATGTTAACTTATTGGCTCATACCACACATTACACACTTTAACTTCACTCGCAGAATACCTGTCAGGTGGAATCCCCTTGTTCCATCGCTCTGACCTGTGTGGCACTGACTGCTCCTGTGTGTCAACACTCTCTTGCTTCATATCTTGTTCAGCTTCTCCTCCCTGAATGCTGACACTGTCACTAAGTAAGTTACTACCACTAAGTGAGCTACCATCATTAAATGGATCACCATCACGAAATGAATCATTCCACAAATTTGCATCAATTCTGTTCCAATTTTGCTCTGCAATGCTTGCAGACCTTGAAAACCCTATTCTTTTGCTCCCGTCACTAAAGCGATAACTCTCTGAGCCTGGCTCATAGCCCACAAACCTGAGCTTTCTAGTCTTTGGTTGCCTCTTTCTTCTAATTGCTTTTGGAATATGCACCCATACATTGCTTCCAAACACCCTTAAATGTGCTCCAGATGGTTTTCTCCCAGTACTGCATATGGAGTATCATTAATGGAGGAACTCTACAACCTATTAACTAAATAATTAGCAGTCAATATGGCTTCACCCCAATATGACCTGCTTAGACCAGAATCCTCTAGCAGTGTGTCCTTCATGGTTTGCAAGACCTTGAGTGCAATCTGAAAACATCTAGAGCAGGAGTGTCGAACTCAAGGCCCGTGGGCTGGATGCGGCCTGCAGGGTGCTTTCATTTGGCCTGCGGGGCCAGCCTGGAAATATCAAAAGACCAGGCCGTTTTTGGCTAGCAGAGTGCTGCTGGAGGCTGGGGAGGCTGAAAACGCATTGGACCGGATTATAATTATGTGGCCTCAAGTAAGTGCCTGATCTGGATAGAAAACAAGCAACATCCTATGTTAATACTACAGTTTCATGCCAGATTTTACATACTGTAGATCCATTTAATGTACAATCAGTAATCTATGATTGACAACCATTTCTATTTACTATCTTGGAAATTTACCTCTGCTGTTAGATCCTGTATTATCATGTTATTTATGTTATTGTATTTTGTTATTAGTTGAATAATAAAAATACAATAGTATAAATAGCTTTTCTGCCTGGAAAAGCACTTTACTATTAAACAATGGGGTATACATTTAGAAATAAAGTTTAGTGAAGTATGATGAATAAGTAAGATTCAGACTGTTATATAAGGGTTTCATTGAAAAACTGTTGGAGGCTTAAAAGTCACCCTTGAAAATGGCCCTAAAATTGAAAAAGCATGTTACCCAGTAGATAGGAATGGAAGAAGAAAACCAGATGTATCTCTTGCACAATCAGTTTACAGAAACAGGGTTCACCATAGTTCTCACACAGTCAGTATAAAATATAATAGCAAAAATACCCAGTGCAATAGTAAAATGAAGAAGAGATTGAAGCTGATTAGCCTGCTCAAAGAGGGAGCCACATTTAGGAAGAGAGAACAAAAGGCAAAACATAAGTAAGTTGGAATCCTGACCTTGTCAATGAGGCTTGTTCTTAAATCCCAGCAGTTGTGGAAATTCTATGGAGCAATAGCAATGGCCAAAGCACTTAGACATATACCACTTCACAGTCCTTTTTACAACCCTCTCTAAATGATTTTACAGAGTCAGCCTCTTGCCCTCAACAATCTGGGTCCTCTTTTTACCAACCTCGGAGGGATGGAAGGCTGAATCAAGCTTGAGTGAGCCTGGTGAGATTCGAACTGCCAAATTGCAGGCAGCTGGCAGTTAGCAGAAGGAGCCTGCAGTACTGCAGTCTAACCACTGCACCACTGAGAACAGCTTCTTACTTGCTTCAATAGGTCACTGCACAAGATGGGTGGTTACATAAATATAATAAATAAACATTACTTATCAGCTATTCAGCGGTGTCCATGAAGGAGAGGGGCAGAAGGAGATGAAAAAAATAACACTTTAAAGAAAGTCATGGCTATGACTGCGTGATTGCAACATGTAAAGCAGGGCCAGGGATTGTGCAGTTGTGGTCATCCTCTTTATTCCCCCCCCCCCCACATTAATTGTTACATTAATTGAAATAATTAATATATTATTTATTAATACAATAAGTCTAATAAGATGCAAATAATACGTTATATTAGCTGGGTACGGTGGATATAGACAGTGTTAACCAAAGATTGTTAACATTATGACGAGCTAGATAACTATTCTATGTCCCACTTTCTGATCTGGATTTTTTTTTTTTACCTCCTTTGCAGAAAGGAGAGATTTTTTTAAGGCAAGAGATCCCTTCCAGAGCTGCTGTAGCACTTCCCTAAGAGGAGCTAACTGCAAGTTAACAAGCTCAGCTCTGTGACCTTAATTAGTTAATTAGCCCCCCTCAGCCATAGCTGCTGTTTGAAATTTGCAAGACCCTTAATCTGTTCTATGCTGAAGGCTTTATTCTGCTTCCTAAAGGGCTCCCTGTGAGCACGCTAGGGAAACAGCCAGTGCCAGCACATTTGTCAGGCCCAAAACCACATGGCTATTCTTCTAAGATGAGTTCTTATTGTTTCACACCTAGAGATCAATTCTTGCTAGACTGAAAACTGTACTATTTCCATCTATGACCATGATGGCAAACCTATGGGATGCAGAGCCATTTGTGCCGGCATGCGAGCTGCAGGCAAACTTACCTCACTTGGCATGCACGTGCCTCACAGCTGGTTTTTGACTGGTTTGAGGCCTTTTTCGGCCTCCCAAAGGCTTGAGGAAGGCTTCTGCAGGCTTTGCAGGCCAAACACTAGCCCCGTTTCGTCACTTCCTGTTTTCCAAAAATACCGGAAGTGACTAAACGGGGCCTAGTTTTCAGCCTGCAAAGCCTTTCTCAAGCCTTTGGGAGGGCGAAAAAGGCCTCAAACCGGCCGAAAATCAGCTGTCAGGCGCAATGCAGGTAAAGGGGTGGCGGGAGTGAGTGGGTGGGGATTACGCATGTATGCGTAGGGGGCATGGGGGGGCACGCATTGCCTTCTGGGTGCTAGCACACGAGTGCGAGTGTGCAAGTGCGCACACAATTTTTGGCACAGGAGCCCCAAAAGGTTAGCCACCACTGATCTATGATATACTCTGGGAATCAGGGGTGGGATTCTACCGGTTCGGATGTTACATTTTCATCTGGTTCACCAAACCAGTATTTGAACCAACCAGCTGCCCCGCCCCCACTCCCTCCCAGGAGTCTCCAAGTGGCCCATTTTTGATGCAGGTAAGTGCAGGGTCCAAGTGGGGGCTCTGGGAGGGGGGAAAACGGGCCTTCCGGAAGTCCGGAAATGGGCCTGTTTCCAGCTTCCGCAGGGCCTCCAGAGCCTGGGGGAGTCCATTATCGCGGTCCCAGAGGCTCGAGGGAAGCCTCTGGACCCTTGGGAAGGCGAAAAACAGCCAAACCAGTAGTTCCAGTATGCCACGTCCACCATGGCCACGCCCACCCAGCAACTGGGCAGCGAACCAGTTGCTGGGATTTTTGAATCCCACCCCTACTGGGAACTAATAGGGAGAGTTTGTCTTCATCCTCTTTCTCTCACACATGATCTCTGGACTGAGATGCCTCTTACTCCTCTGCAAAGTCCCTTCTGGAGATCCACCTCCTCGCTACATTCCATCCCAGCCTTGCTTTCCATGTGAATTCCCCACTATGTGCCTGCTTAGTCTCTTGTAACCCCTTCCTCTCCAATGAATGCAAATACAAACATTAATTCCCATCTTGCTAATGCAATATTGGGGTGAGCATTCCAAAGGGTGGGGGGGTACTAGAAAATATGGCCTAATTTGCCCTATATTTCTGGCTTAATTGTGAGTTGAATTCTGGGAACCTTCCCCTCCATTTGGGCTGGCATTGTAAATATATTCAGAGACAATTTCTAAATAAATCTTTTTCAAGATATATTGTTCTACTGACATTTCCCTTAATGTTCGTGTTCTTTGGAACCCATCCTGCAAATTCTAAAGATGCACAAATTAATGGAAGATTAAAGATAAAGAAGAAAACATTTATATCAATAGCAACATCTTTATTTTTTGACACATTCCCCCCGGCCCCTGGATGTCCCATGACTATTCCTAGATTTCTTGTGGACTTCCCCGAATGGGTCATTCCTGTCTGTGGGAATGAAGCCTGATCAGCCCTTTTTGTCATTTGCAAAATCTTCATCTCCTTTTCCTCATCCTTCCTTCTCTTTCTTCCTTCTTCTCTTCCTCCTCCTTCTGCTCCATCTCCTCCTCCTTCTCCTCCTGTGCCTCAAAGTCACTCCAGTATCCTCAAGTTATTATTATCATGAAAAGATATC